CTCAGCCCGCCAAGCAGGCAACGCCGCCGACACCGGGCCGGGCTCCGGCGCAGCTCAACCCCGCGGAAATAAAAGCTGAGACAAAGCGGGAAAGGCAGGTCCAGGGGCGGGGCGAGAGCGCGCCCCCGGGGCCGATGCCCGCAGCCCCAGCTACCGGGCCCCGCGATACTTAAATTTTTCCGGGGATCGGTGATTTTTGCTGCGACACAGCTCGCCACCAGAGAGGGAGAAGGGCGGCCAACAGGGAGGTGTGCCTTCAGCATCCCCCTGGCTGTCATTTTAGTGAACGGTTCTATTTTTTTCTGGTCCGGAATTAAACCGAGATTTTAAGTATTTACAGTTTTCACATGTAATAAGGTTATTAATGTTGGTCCCACACTGGTCCAGTATGAAATCCTCAGTCAGCAGGTCAGTAAGCAGAGGCTAGAAAAAATAATTTTAAAAAATGTCACCTGAATTCAGGTAACAGGAGTAAGCATAATTTTTCCAGTCATATCCTCATCTCTTCTTGTGGTATTACTTTCCCAAAACAGCTTCAAATAAAGCTGCTGTGGTGGCTTCTCTCTAAGAAGATATGCCAACGGACACCTTCTTGGAGAGGAAAGTAGCCTTGGAGTCCAGGTATACAGGACTGCAAAAGTCTGCTCCTGCCCAGTCCCCTTGGCAATCTCATTGCATAATCTTCTCCTCAGCCAACAAAGTTCTGACTTAAACACATTAAGAGATTTGCTGGGCTTTCCATCAGGAAGAGGTATCAGACCTGCACTAACCCACTGGAACAAAAACCATTTCTAAAATGAATGTATTTCTACTCTCGTACTAAGTTTGTGCATTAGCCTCAGCAGTTGTTTCATCAATGTGTCCCCAACTCTGATGTACTTGCAGCATCATGTGCCTTGCCTTAATTTAACCAAAGCAAGGAAGTCTCTTCTTGCAACACAAGCTGAACACGATTACCTGTTCACTTTGGCAACCCTTTTTTTTTTTTTTAATTTCCTTCTAATCTTAACACATCCTTCTTGAGCATGGTGGTAGAAATGCACACAAAACACTCCAGTTGCTCTCCCACCAGGGCCTCCTATAATAGCATGAGTATCTCTCCTCTCTGATGGTAACACCTAAAACTGCACCTAGGATTTCATTTACATTCATTTCCATGGCTATATCATACTGCCACCTCACACTTAGCCTCAGACAGATCAATCACATAGGATAACCCTCGTGGCTGCACTGACCAGGACTGGGTTCTGAAGACACCTTGCATTCCTGCAGACTCTTCCCACTACACACAAACAACTGCTAGATGTACTTTCCACCCCTTGCTGCCAAACGTGGCACCTGTCTGTGCCTCACTCCAGCGGCCAGCCCTTCCCATCACTGCCACGAAAAGGTGATGTGACAAATGAAAGTTAGCCTGATATGATTTCTGCTTATATGTCCAGATCTTTCTTCTCCTCCATTGCTGAGCTCCCAGCTTCCAGCAGAAATTCTTGTTGTATTCTCCAGGTACCCAGCTTGCTGCTCTGCACCACTGAACATTATCCCATTTCCATGACTCCAGCACAGAGTCATCCATTCTTCCTATACAACAGTCTCAATAGCCTCTCTGGTGGTGGTGCTTCCCAACTCAGTGTCAGCAAATTTAATTAGTGCATGCCTCTTTTTTGTGCCAAGATCATTAATTTAAATATAAACCAAGAGTCAGTCTCTAGTCTTGAGGAAATCCATAAATGATTTACCAGCTGACTGACACTTTTTCTTTCAGTACCACTTGTTTACATTCCCCTTGTTGCCTAATTCCTCCCCACCTTACAATTCTTCTACACCACACACTCACTAGATTAACTAATTGCTTCCCTTGTGGCATCCAGGTAGATTAATTTCTTTCTCTAAGACATTAACTGTAAAGAAAGTGGTGGCAAAGGCAAAACCTTTGCTTAAGAAACCATATTTCACAGTATTCCACTTCCCAGTTAGCCCCAAGTCTTTAACTTTTTGCCCATTCTAAACATGTTTTAAAACTTTGCACAGTTTAGATAAAATTAGCAACTCCAGTTGCCTGGATCACGTTTCCTTTCCCCTCCTAAATACAGGCATGGTCAACACAACTCACCATTTACATGATACAGCAGCAGACCCAAAAAATTTTACTGGAAACCTCTGCTCCCAACTCTGCAATTTCACCTACCAATTCTTTCAGTGTTCTTGGATGGAGATAATGCAGCCTTCCAGTCCTAATGCATGGAGGTCTATGTCTTCACCTAAATACAACTACTTAATCTCACATACATATTTCTGTAATCTACCTTGCCTTTACTTCTGATAATGCACATCAGAATAATTAAGGAAAAAAAAAGTAATATCTTCATCAATTTTAATATTCACTGATATGGCAGCACAGCCCTTGGCTACTCCACATCCTTCGCAATATCTACTATCCTCATCCACTGGCAATCTAAAATAATTATAGAATCACAGAATGGTTTGGGTTGGAAGGGACCTTCAAGATCATCTAGTTCCAACCCCCCTGCCATGGGTAGGGACACCTTCCACTAGACCAGGTTGCTCAAAGCCCCGTCCAACCTGGCCTTGAACACTGCCAGGGAGGGGGCAGCTACAACTTCTCCGGGCAGCCTGTTCCAATGTCTTACCACCCTCACAGTGAAGAATTTCTTCCTTATATACAATTTAAATCTACCCTCTTTCAGTTTAAAACCGTTAACCCTCATCCTATCACTACACTCCCTGATAAAGAGTGCCTCCCCATCTTTCCTATAAGCCCCCTTTAAGTACTGGAAGACCACTCTAAGATCTCCCCAGAGCCTTCTCTTCTCTAGGCTAAACAACCCCAGCTCTCTCAGCCAGTAATCTAAATAATAATTATTTACTAATAAAAAATCTAAAGAGTACTCCTAAAAAAGTATTCTAGTACTTAGATATGGTATTATGCAATTTCTAAAAGACATACAGGTAGCATTCATGCTGCCTCTTTAAGCTGAACTACTGAACAGAAGCTAAAATTCTTGGCAATGATCCAGCAGAAGGTACCTTGAGAACAAGCCTAATAATTTCCAGTGGAACTAAGAAGAAGCAGCACTTGAAAGCAGTATTTTAGAAAAAGGAACACGTAAATATAAGGTTTTAGTGGATAAACACCATCTGGTGGGTTGCAGTTCAAAATTATTTTATACAGCACTACAAAAGGTCATTTTACAGGCACCGTCAGGTTAAAACTCCTTATCCCAAGATGGTTACAGACAGAATGAAAAGATTATATGGTCTGGGGAGGCGGAACAGTGAAAGAAGGCATCACATGTAAAGCAAGACAAAATATTTCTAAAACATACATACTATAGCTATATTTATCTTGAAAAACATCACAAACAAATATGCATATTGCTTCGTGGTATTATAGCCAGGACAGTGTATAACCTATTAAACTGCAACAAACATCTTAGGAAATGGATATGGCATCCAAGTTGATTACATGTTCTAAGTAGTCCTAGCCAACCACCCAAACCCAAGAGCTAGAGAGCTGAAACATTTACTGTGAGAAAAGAAGTATCTGCCTGCCTAGTTTGAAGCTTCAGTTTTGCACCATTATTTTTAATTGAACATGAAGAGTTACCAAACCTCCTCGATTCAACATACTAGGCTAGAGGTAAGCTCCTTTTGTAGCTTTAGTTCAGAAACTGAAGAACTTAAAACACTTACAAACCAAGAAATGATAAAACTGCAAGGGAAATTAAACCTATTTTCATGTCTGTGTGTAAAATATGGAAAGTTGCATTAAGTCCTCTCACTTCCCATGCCTGGCTACTTCCTCTTTCATCCAAAATTTTCTTAAAAAGAAAATAATGGATCCCATACCAAAATTGTCATACAGCACATGAGAATTTGTAACCTAGTGTGATTTTTGCACTTATATCCCGGACAAAGAAAGTAAAATAGCCACCAAGACACTAGACAAAGGCACAAAGAAGAGCACGTGTGTTGGTATTTTTTGAAGAGTAGACATATTTTCCTTCTGCCACCTAGTGACCACTTTATTCAGATAAGAGTCATGTCTAAAATGTACCATACTAAATGGAACACCTTCATGACTCTTCTCCATCTGACAGCAAGTAGTGTTGCTAATCACATTATTCCCAAAGACAAGTATTGTAAAAGTCATGTTGTTGTGGGCTCCTTATAGTAAAGCCCTATAACGCTCATCACCAGAAAGCTTTGAGAGCAGAGTGCACTCTCATTAAAGCTAAGACTTTGAAGGCTGCCTTACATAAGCACGTCTGGGGAACCTGTCACACACCACAACTCCAATTCCCCATATAGCTGGCAGAACTGCAAATAATTTCACAGATCTTCACAAGCTTTTTATAGCTTGCAGGATGCACACTTTTATTTTAAGTCTTACTGATCCAGGGTAGAGATATTTCTGAAATGATTAAACTTGATCTGTGCACTCACTCAGTGGCACTGCTGAAAATGTGCCTGGCCCTACCTACTGATGGTAATAAGGACTGGGATTACTTAATACTTTTCCTGTGTATCAGAAAAGCAATTCATGATGGAAAAAGTGTTATCTCTGAGTTCTTTCTGCACTGTGAAGAAGCAACCTGTAATAGAAAGGCCACAAAGGGACTAACTAAATTAATTTGGAAGAAAACTGGCCTAAATATTTTCTTATTCATCTATCAAGATCTGCACAATACTGTGTGCCCCTATAGGAAGGGGCTTCTCGTATCTCTGTCTGTCAGGAAAGTAAAACCACTTCAGTATACTCTTGACTTCTATAATTTATACCACAGATTCCTTGGGTTCCTGGCACTGACTCTGCAGTTAAATTTAAAAATGAAAGTGTATCAGAAACAGCAGTTTGCACACAGACATTATTTTCAGCCACATAACAGTCCTGCTTTTGACATCACTACTTGATTGTGAGTCACTGATTCTCTTTTTCTTTCACTTCAGTGCTACTTCTTTTTGATGTGTCTTCAGAGGAAAGAATCTCCAACTTATTCTAATTTATTTCATTGGTTTTATTTTTAAAACAAAGCCTTTCCAAGAAGCACCTTCCTAAACACTATAATAAATACAAAACCCTATTCATAAAGAAAATGAAAGTTGCTAAGAGTTTGCTTTTACTATGACTCTCACATAATTTTCAAAGACATGACTTCAAATAATATGGCACAGATTCACCTAGCATCAATGCATTTACAGAACTGTCCTGGACTTCTAGACACACCTAAATTTTTCTATGGTGTGACAGATGCAATGGTGCTGTGGAACTCCATTCATAAAGTCTAGAGAAAGACACTGGTCTAACTTTTGCACTTTTTACACAGAAAACTTTACAAAAGACCTGAATTGTATTCAATTTTTTAAAATAAAATAAGCGTGGGGGAGTAGTAGGAGAAGGGACTTTATGCCTGGTTGACACTGACAGATTAGAGTCAAGTCCATGGTCTAACTGAGATGATAAGAAACTCCACAAAACAGGCCACCATGTTCAAAATCAAAAAATATATCTCCATGATACATGCTTTGTCCATGAGGCAAAAGGAAAGCACCATTTTGTGGCTTTTTATTATTACCTGTATTAAATGACTAAAACTAAGAATGCTTCTCTTTCCCACCTGCTGCATCATAACTCTTCCCCATCATGTTCTTTCCCACTTCTTACCTTGTCATCTCTTCCTCTAGCTCTAGATTCCCTTTCACGGCTGCCTGCAGCCTTCTCACCCTTGGATACCGCATGTGCTCTGCCCGCAGGCCCACGGGGCTGCAGTCCTGGTGATTCTTTCCTCAAAGGTTTTACTTCTCGGTTGGGACGTTTTATCTGAGGTGGAGCCCTAACAATAAGCAACCACAAAAACGTGCTAAAAACAGTGAAAAAAGATCAACATTAAGAGGGAAGTATTCTAGTATTTCATTGACTCTCTTGTGTGTTACTGCTAAAGCTGACTAGCCCCTAAATTTTATCTCCCTATATCTGCAAATCCAGCAACATATTTATGGTTCTGTCTGACATCCAAAGTAAGAAATAATACAAAAGGAAGAAAAAGTTTCAACAGGAAAAGTTTCAAAATGAACAATACTTTTAGATCAGTACCCCTAACCAGGCTTAAAACAAACCAACACACGTGTCACAAAAGAGGAAACAATATAGTATAAATCTTCAAATTGTAGTATCGTCTCAATCCCAACCAGGAGATTATATTAGGCTACATTCACATGCACAAGTTCTACACAACCAGATGACATTCCTGGTTAAAAAAAAAAAAAAAAAAGGCTAATAGCTTTGACAGGCCCCAAAACAAATGAGGGAGAATTTTAAAACAATCATCCTACCTCTGACTTCATTCACCTCTGTGAAAATGTCAAAATGTAAAATTATCTAGAAAGCAAATGCAAACAGAGCCAAATTGGAACCACCTATGTGTGCATCACCCACAATGTCAAAGAGAACTCAACAGTGGCATGAGGAGAAAGGATTTGGTTTTAAGACAAGGTGTCACAGTCATTTTGCTCTAGGGATTGGACCTGAAATATAGAACTAAATAAATGACCAGCAATGTCATACAACTTTAATTAGTGTCCGCTCTTAAATCTACTGATTCTTGGTTTGAGTAACTCAAAATTTGCTAACTCCAAAAACAGCTCCCTGCAATATGGCTTAAAAAAAGTACATAGTTAAACGCATTGCTGATTACAACTGCTACATTTTGCTTTGTATACATTTTCATCAAACTTAACAGCACAGAAGAGCAGCTAAATTTCCTTACTTGCTTGGTCAGGACTTAAATTTCACCTTAAAAAAGTAGATGAACTATTGGGCCTTTACCTCTAAGAAAGGTACAAGAATAAATACATCTTGCACTTGACATAACATTACCATAAAAATTCAGATAATCATTTCTACCACTCTCAAAAGTAATCAGCATTAATATTATTCTATACTTACATTCCTGGGGTTTTTTGAGAAGTGAAGATCCATTTGTTTCATAGTCATAAAGCACATAAATTTACAAATAAACTTGGCATTTCTTTCTGTTAAGCAATATTTTTTTCATTTTATGTGAGTATACACACAGTAAAATTATTTGCTATTCTAATCTTAGAAAATGTTGGCATGATAAATGTTATTCTTGTTTTTAAAGGGGATTTGTTGTTTCCAACAACCTGTGTCAGGCTCTATTAGGGTGAAAATATGAATTTCAGAAAATGCACAAGCATCTATTTTGAGAAAACTATTAGCTAACTAAAGTTACCTTAAAGTGGTTACAGAAGAGAAACACCATGTATAACAGAACATGCTTAGCAATAAAACTAACCAATGGATTAAACAGAGGTCATATTATCTATAACTAGGGAGTGACTTCTAACCACCATGTCCTTCAAGATCCTTCAGTTCCAGCTCCTTGCTGACTCCTCAGCCATCAATTAATTCAACAGCTTAAATAAGCTGAAATAGAAAAGTGTTCTCCCCGCACATAAGAAAGGCAACTGCCACCAAAAGCCTACTTACCTCTCCAGCAGACTCTAGTGCCAGGCCTTTAGCTAGTCACTCCTACCAGAATAAAGGAGTGGCTTTCTTTAGAACTTCAACAATAAATCCAACTGTAGGTTAATTACTTTTTTCCCTAATTAATTATATTTATTCTTTATTACAAATGACTAAGGGGTGAATGATATGTGATTTTCATATTACAGATGCATTCAAAAATTAATATAAAATTATGGCAACCCAACTTCATTCCACCCACTCTGCTTGAGCCTCTTATTACCTGTGTTCAGCTGGAACAGGAGGGGGCCAAACAGCAGGATCTCTAAAAGGCTCATCTTGACAGGATACAGGGATATCTGCAGGTCTGTCCATTTTAAAACTCTCTAAAGTGTTGACAATGCTCTTAACTTGTTCATATTCTTCAACTAGTTCTTGTCGGACCTTGAGAAATACATACATTATTTAAAAATTATTATTATTATAGTTTTAACTTTTTTTTTTTTATTTAAAACATATAAAATACCTCAAAACATACTCTACCCTCAAAAGTAGGGACTCCCAGACTTTTCCATTCACAACCCCAGACCTATCAGGCTGACAACAGACCTTTAACAACAGCATAAACGATTGAATCACTGTTGAGTTCATCTTCCTGATTGTCAATGTCATGACCAGATTTGATTGCTAAAGCAGGAATCGCTCTTCCATAACATGTGCTGATGCTTAGATTTATCTGTGCATGTTGACATGTATGCACACATACATATACTTTTATACTAGTAAGAGTGCTGTTGGCAGATCTTTAACATATTTGCTACTATTCTGGCATTAAAGAACTTCTCTGCTTAGTCTCCAAGGTCCTAGTTATAAAACTAGCTAAATCATTAAAATATAGTATCACAAAATTAGCTTTGTGAGGGGCACAACATCATCATACAGTCAAAACACAAGCCAATTCTTTAGTGGAGTGCAAAGATTAGAACAGGAAATGGGAACTTTAACAGCCTATAGCATAAATACAAATTATAAGTAAAGTAAGTGAAATAAGAATGAGAGGATATTATGTATCAGTAAGAAATCAGATTGCAGAATTACACAGCTGAATTTTATACTTGAAGTTTCTATTGCCACTAGTCAGGGAATTAGAACTACTGCAATAATTCCAAGATTATTTACTTGATATTTGTTCATTTTTATTCCATGAAGCCTAGGAAAAATAAAATCTGTGTAGAAATCTGCTAAGTTTTAAGTGATACGGCTTGCTACAAGTCCAAGCTTTGTATGCTAAGGTCACTGGTTCTTAGTACACACTGGCAGCCAAAAACTATATTGTACATTCCTGCTCAGAAGCGTAAACTTTCAGTTTAAGCTGTGCTAGGATTCACCTGAGTGCACTTGTACTGCATCTTAGCAGTCTTCCACCTATCACTCATGATGCTTTCCATCCTGTGGGATCAACCTCTATGCTGACTTCAGTTTTTACCTGCTTGAGGGTCATAACACCCAGCTGTTACCTCTTCACTGAAGTCTTGGTGCACAGCTAAAACAAATTCATGCATTGCTGTGCATGCCTGGAAATCAGTCTCAGCACTCTGCAGCTAAGATTACCTCAGGCCAGTGTGAATCTTGCCTGTTACAGGCTCACAGCTGGAGCTACTGAGAAATCCTTGGACCTTTCCATCCACTGGAAAGGCGCACTGGCTCTAAAAGCTCTCGTGAAGAACCACTACAGTGAGGATGTTTGCAGGCTGTCATGAGGCACACTACTGAGGGAGACTACAACTAGCATACACTGCACGGCTGAATCAAAAGGCAGGATCTGAAGTCAACTTACAAGAAAGCCAAGGAAAGACACCACCAGGCACCCAGCTGTGCTCACGTCTGCATCCACGTGAAAAAGAGCTGGGAAAAATACTGCCTGGGAATGTTGCAAGCAGGCTTCATTTTGTGGCAAACAGAGGAAGGCAACTGAGGACAGTATCAACAGATGTCAGTGAAGTTGCCTGAAATCCAGACTCTTTTTGCTGTGCATAACCTGAGAAGATTCCAGGTAATCGAGAGGATCAGAAAAATGGTAGTCTGCACATCCAGCCTGTTTGCTGACGTTATAAATATAGCAACAGCAGATCAGGAAACTACTACTAACAGAGTCACATCTTACAGATGTTCTTCCTAATGGTGCTTACTGGTGAAAAGATGTGGCCACTAGCCTGAGATCTTCCCATCTCCCTATGTCCTTGGAAAGGAACCACAATGGGTACATGCAAGGTACGGTGTCCTACCAGTACACATTCAGAAGCACACCTCTTTCCAGCCTGATCACACTCATGTTTCCCCTCTCAGTACAGTGTCTTTCCTCACCTGCTCTGCTCTACGCGTTCAAAACAGCAGCAGCAGCCCCCCACTTTTGGTGGGACAACTTCAAGACAGGAAGCACTGTCCATTGCTGGGTATGGTGTATAAAAGACCGAATGATTAAATGGTCGGCACTCAGTAACAAACATACATCACCTGTTTCTGAAAGGTTCAGTTCTCCTAAAATACAATCGGGTACATCCCACAGGAATGTATTGTTCTGCTCTGTAATATTTTCCAAGAATTTTCCCACCACAAAAACAAAATAGGAGATTTCAGCAGCACAGATAAATTCTTCTCTGGTTTAAAACTTAAACCTTGTTTAAGGAAAATAATATATATGACTGTTGACAGCAAGATACCAGCAAGGACAGAGGCAAAGCAGAGGGTAAATCCCCAAGGCCCTACACAGTTCTTGCAACACTGCATTTATTTCACCAGGAGCTCTATGTGCATCTGTACAAAAGGAGCCTCAGAACTTGATCATTTCACAGGGCAGAGCAGCCTTCTTGCTTGTTCCAGATGGGGTAGCTGTATCTTTCCAAACACACAGGACATCCAGCTCAAGCAGGATTGCTCTGGTAAAGGCAGTCATTACTTGACATGCCCCCCCCCTTTTGCTTTCGCATCACACATACAGCAGATACCTCCCCCAGTGCAAGAACTTCCAGCTGAGTTGCAAATGTGATTGATTACTAACTTGGTTACTTCAAACTGTCTAACACACATTCTTTCTGTCCAAAAATAAATCCAGCCAAACAGCTGCTCTGAGGTACAAAGGAATGATACAGCATAAATCCTCCAGGGCACTGCTCCACGAGAGACAGCCGCTTCCTACTCCAGTGCTCCAGGAATACAGACAGGATTCCTATCAGCCTTCCAACACATGCAGAAAAGTTGGTGGAAAACAACTCGCTAGCACTGAGGGCTGGAGTGTTGTCATTCAGCTCTCTGGACCAGCAAGGAGAAAGGTATCTGAAAATTGAAAGGAAGTAAGACTTTGATGCCTTGGCTGCTGAAAACTGACTAACAACTGCTGGCCATCTCTCACCCAGACCTGAGCAGACCAAACTCTGAAATACACACCCTTACTGCTTAGTCAGTAGCCAGCAAACCAACAAAACCCCCTCAATGTACTCAAACAACAGGATCACAAAGGAAAAACAGCTGATAAATTCCTAGAGGCCTTAAAGAAACCAAGTCAGATCAAACAGGTGCAGAAAGAGTTTCTTGCAGATGAGAAACAAATAACCTAGATGTGAGCCAAGAAGGGCTGTGCCGCAATGATCGAGGTGACTGAACAGCATCTTCAAGAGCTCGCTGCTACTCTGAAGCAACTTCAGAAGGCTGCAAACAGGAAAATCACTGGTCTGGACTCACCCAGTCTCTTTTCCCCCTGTCACATCCCTCCCTTGGGTGCCAGAGCCCTCAGCAGGCTCCAGCTCAGGCTGTAGAGAGCCTGAAGACAGCTTTTAGGTTATTCATGTTTAAACAGTTTCAGGAGATAGCATGAGCTGAGTTAGCAGCTCACTACTGCCAAATGGGAAGATCTTGCTTCTCCTCACTTTCCTCCCCAACCACACTCTGCCACTGCTCTTCTGTATTCAATTCTGGCATCTCAATACAGTAACCCACCTTTGTAAATGGCAGAAAATCAGTCTAGGAGGGTAAAAAGAAAATAAAGGACACTTCTGGTGCGTTAACAAGCTGCACTGGCTCACTACCCTGTGATCAGATGAATCCCTGGACAAAGAATGGCAGGGTGCAAGAAGGGAGAGAAGCTGGTGCAGCTGGAAGGAAGACTAGGTGGGAAGAGCTTGGCCTCTCTGGGCACAAGGTGTTAACTGGGTTCAGCTACCGTGTGAAACTGCCTGCTCCTCAGAGCCACGCTCTGGTACATCAGCCACTTCTACCAGACACGTCATCTCCTCAACAGAAGCAGCACTGTGGGCACTGGGTGATGTTGGAAAGTCTAATAAAAAGCCTTTCAGCCTAGGGGGTGGCCCCACAGCTTTGTTTTGACATTCCGCTGTATGGATTTACAGTAACCAAGAAGAAAACACATCCTAACATATGTGTATAAAACACAGTGACCAAGAGTTGAGTTCAATCTTTCTCAGTGGTAGTTCCCAAAAAACGTTTCAGGGACTTCCTCTGTATTTCACTCTCTGTCAACTGTTGTACCTTTGGCATCACCAGCTTTTACTTGCTATGCTAGAGCTTGGACTTCTACAGGACTTCCCATAGCAATAAGCATGGGTATTTGTACTTTGGTAAATTGAAATAATGTATGGGTTGGGTTTTTAAAAAATTTTATCATGCTGGAACAAATCCAATCAAGTTTCTAAAAAAGTGTGTTCCAAACCTGTAATTACTGCCTGCAATTAGTGTTAGTTTTTCAATAAGCTCCATTTTAAAAAAAGTGAAAAAAACAATTCCCTAAACCATACCCAAAACGGAAACCCTGTAACCCAGCCTGATCCCATGGAGTCAAAGTACAGCTCCTGTAATCACAATTCTTCAAGAGTTACCTGCAGAATATGCATTAATTACTCATGAAGTAACCTGCAACGTGTTAATAAAACAGGCATGAAATAAAAACAATATAAGCAGAGATTGACTGAAATGTGTTTAAAGTTTTTTTTAAAAAAGTAAAAATCATCCTTTATTCTTTAAGCAAGAATACACTGCACCTAATAACCTCCTCCAGTGACCATGGTCAGTTAAGGGGGTCTTGCTGGCTGCTCCAAGCACTCAAAATTGTTGAACTCCTGCCTCAGCTCCATCTGAGGCTCCTGTACTCTCAGATAGTGTGCTACACAGAGCACACGGTTATAACATGCAGCAGGTTTTGCTCGACAGCCGCTGGCCTTGTCGTAAGCCAGTACTATCTCCCGGGGGCATGCTCTGCTGTCATTCTGCAGCTGCTGAACTGTCACGGAGGCAGCTCTTTCCTACAAGCCAGCTGTCTAGTAAAAAGACTGCAACAGCCAAGAAACTCTCTCAGAATAAACAGGGGGAATGTCAACACATGTAAAGCCTCACACTAGCGGTCATGAGAGTAAATCTACCTTTTAATGTCGTTAAGTAGAAAAAGAGATGAGTTGCTTCTCATCTGTAATCTTTTCAGTCCCACCCTGCACTTACATGGATGAATATGCCCATATGTCAGTCAAACTTCAAAGAACGACAAAGAAGTAACTTTTTTCAAATAAGCTTAGAGGCCGAGGAGTGAGGATAAGAATGGAGTTATACTCAGCCACCCAAGAGCAAGCTGGGAGCTTCCTGGAACACCTAAGGGTCTCAAGAGCAGGTCACCCTTGGTATCCTCAAGCTAGTTAACAGACTATCAATGACAATGAATTTTCCAAAGGGACAGAGGAATTCTTATGTTGTCACACTGCTGCTCTGGTGGACCCTCAAGGATGCATCTTTTGACCTTTTGAAGTTCTGCAGGTTATGCCAGACTAGTAACACAATTCCTCTCCCCCAGTCAGTCCTGATTTTGAAGTCCCAGAAGCAGTACTGCATCAAGCGGAACCGAGACAGTCACTCGTTCCCAGGGGAGCAGATGACACGTGTTCACATTTTTCCTAACTATCAGCACCAAGCATGAGGAACCCTTGAAATCAGCGTGCTCAGTTGCAAAGCTGAAGGTGTCTGACTGTGCAACATGAAATAAAAGCCACCACATACTTGCACAGAATATAATTCAGTCCAGACCAACATGCAGAAATTTGAAAATAATAATACCTGAGAGAAGAGTGTTTAGGAGTCTGACCCAAAATCCCAACCACTTATGGTTCACTTCTGCTCTACATTGCTCAGTAAACAGCTGGAAAAATCCCATATAGTACACAAGGCAACAAAACAGATCCACCTAGCGTAAGGTACCTATTCAGGATGGAGCACCCACTGTAGAGAAGTGACCATAGAGGGAAAACAATGGTTCACGTAACAGGTATGAGCTGATCAACTGCAGAACCACAGCTGTAATGATTCTTTTAGATGTTACTTGTATGAACATTCCTATTTAATGAGGGAACATGTATGCAAACACCTGAAACTGAGTTCAGGGCCTCAGAAGTACCAGTAGGACAAACACCCTGTTGGTAGGAAGGGCATGCTTTATACTGCCAGATCCCCTCAGCGTTGGTGTCCCAGGAATCCTTCAGGAGGTTCAAGATTGTGAATGTGCAGGCAGACAGTACATCTCAGAGAAGAGCTGGTTTAAGTAATAATCTCCGTGGAGCCCTTATCTACATGGACATTCACACTGTGGACCACTCCCAACAGTAAAAGCTCTACCTACCCAGTGTCTGGTAGAGATTGCTAAACTCCACCTCCAAAAGGTACCAGTGGTATTGTCCTTCTCAGATTCCTCAGAGGATGGAGAAACTGAAGAACCTAAAGAATAGGCTACTTCCATATGCCAGAGAAGACAGAATTTCAGGTAAAAATCAATCGCATTCCTCCCTGTAACCATGACCTAAGAGTTGCTTTGCTTCTCATGCCACTGGTGAGCATACAAGTATGGGAATCTTTTGCTTCTGCACGTTACTGGTACCAAGTGGGTTAGACCTGAATTTTGCTAAACTTACGTAATGTGTATGGCATAACTCTTTCATGAAAATGTTCTAAAAAGAATATCTAAACATTATTTTAATATTTTGAATGAGTGTTTCTTGTGACTTTTGCTCTTATTTTTTTCAGAACAGGCTGTCTGTCAGACAGCTACTGAATGTGACTGACAGTTTGGATGTAGCTGCTGTTAAGAGCTGGAAAACAGAGCTAACATCCAGATCATCAGCTTCCCTCTTAGTCTGTCTCAAGGAGTGAGAAAGCACAACAATTACTTATCAAGAAGGGGTAAGAAAGCAGGTCTACCTCTATAGGTTTTACGAAACCACTCAGGTGCAGGTATGGAAAAACTAGTGGTTTCAGGGCTGCATCGTTTGCTCTCAGGGCTGTATCATCTTGTTCCCTGTGCTACGGGTAGGCCCATAAATGAATGAGAAGGCAAACAGCTTGGGGATGAGCACTTTTTTTTTTTTTTTAAACACACTTCTTACTTTTTGGTGTTTGTCCTTGAGCCAAGACTGGCACCAGTAATGGCAAAGCAATATTCTGACAAAGCTCATCTGCCACCGCTGTGTTGGGAAGTTTCAGAATTAACATGACCACACAGCGTGACAGACACTACCCCACCTGCTGCTGATCTTTCTGGGGACAGTTCTGTAAAGCATTTATGGGACACTGTCAGGGGCCATTCTGTTTTTACCTAAAAGGGATAATTTCTGAGAAGGTGCCAACTTGAGATCCTCTGCTAAGGAGCCAGCTGCCTTCCCCAGGGAATAATCCTGGAAACTGTGTTAATGATCCTTTTTTACTCCAGGCTTGTCTCCAATGTACAGCACGCATTCCATGGTGCACAAGCTTCTCTGAAGCACTTCAAACAACACACCACATCAAGAGATTTGAAGTAAAATTCACAAGATAAGAGCTGTTAAAAATTTAATGGAAGAAGCAATGCCATCAGAGGAAACACTAATTACTAGAAGTGAAGGCAATGCAGTGATGCAGCTGCAGAACAAGGAAAGCCTCATGCTCTACCTTCAGGTCAGCTACAAGTTGGGCGGGAGCTAAGGATAATCAGGGGGCACGAACACCCTGTATCAGCATGCCCTGGGATGGGGAAGAGCTTGAGTACAAATACTTGAATGTGAGTATCTCCTACAAAACATTCAGCTTATTACATCACCAGGAAAGGTAGGCACTATCACTGCTGCTTGTACACACTCATGCTTTGCAGACAAGCTCTTAATAAGCAGACAGACTACTACAGGTTCTATGATAAACACCTATCAATAGTAGTGTCATTACAAAATGATCGCTAACAGTGTTGCATATATCAGTACACAAAAAACTGCATGTTAGTGTCAGATGTTTCAAGCACAAAACCATAACCAAAGCAACCTGCTGCAATAAAAAGGAAAAATTTGCTTGTTTTAAGTGACATCATTTAAACATACGATATTTAGAAAAACTCTCCTTGAAATCATCTCTTCAGCTACTTATGGCAAAATTATACCTTTTAGAGGAGATATGTTCTTATTTCAGAACATAATATTTATTCTGGAAGACACCTTTACATGTTTAGCCTCCAATTTTATCTATTTTAATGGAACACATTTTGTACAATGAAAAATGGGACCACAAAATGTAAGGAAGACTTAAATACTGGAAGTGCTAAATGAGGGTTCTTACATTTCACCTGTGGATTACTCCTTGGCTTCAACAGTACTCTGCTTAGCAGGGAGATGCATGTGCGCAAGACTCAGGCTAAGAGTATCATTTGGAGTTTCAGAAACCTGATCCAAATTTGCACACTGCAGAATTATAGTTAACTGCTATTCAGACAACAGTTCTAGTGATTCTAACCTATCCACTCATATCTTAGTTTACTGGAGGGTCAAAAGATAGAACAGCAAAAGGAAGTCTCAGCAAAACAGTTTTTCCAAAGTATACAACCACACACAAACAGACCAGTGATTAGCCAGACATCTTAAGTGAAAACAAGAAAAAAATTTATTCAATTAGAACAAAAGAATTCTTTTTGAACATGTCACAAAAATTATTTTCCCATAAATATCAACAAAATATTGTAAAAGAAACGTTGTAAACTTAACTGAAATATACATCCCCTACATCTTAAAAGGTCTAGAAAGTATAGCGCGTTTTTCAAGTATCAAATAATAGAATAAAGACCACCTTATTTCACCCTACCTGTTGCCATTTGCCCTTAATTGCTGGATCTCTGATTGACTGGCAATGTCTCTGGATTTGCTGGATGACACCCTGGTAGTACACCATAGAAGAGTCATAATTCCCAAGCAGTGCATATTCTCTCCCTTTTTTGGCATTATCGCAAATCTCTGCTAAATTCATCTTCACTCAGAAATCTAAAAGAGAACATAACCATCATAAAAATGAATTGTACATGCTGTATAATAATTCATACTGTGACACTTTAGTTTTGTTTTTTCTCTCAAAGCTGAATTGTGTCTTTCCACCACCCAATTCCCATCCAGGCCCCCTCTTTTTCAATCATTTAGCTCTGGAGTATCTTTTTACTAAACTAAGGTCTGAACTCATGAATCATAACTCTTTTACAGTGATAAAACCCACAACTTCTTTCCTACCTTTGGCCCCAATCCTGCTAAATTAATGCAAGAAAACTAAATGTCCTGCCCACACTGAACCTAACAAGTCAAACTTTAATTTGTAGACCACTACAATATATTAGCAGCCATCAACCCATGAATCACAAATCACACGAGGCATTAAATTGCTTTTTATACTGTTGTATTACATATGTGCCTAAATGTGGCAAGCAGAATCAGGAAAGTCTGCACTTAGCACTTTCAAGAGCCCTCACCCTAATAAGATTACGATATGGTTGAATGACAGCTCTACTAGAGACAAAAGTTGAGAGCCTCGTTCTGTTTAAATATTCTTTCAAAGTACTCCAACATCCACATGCTGACTTGGATTTTTTTTCATTAAATTTAACATGTCACTTTGGGATTTATGGCAGAGTTAGCAATCCAAAATTAAGATTTCTTAAAATGGTGATTTCCAAAGTACAACCTTCCCCTAGTTCCCAAAACAATTTAAGATTTACAGATTTCACTAACTTTTTTATACAAGTAGTAAATTACAGCATGACTTTAAGGCAAACCCACAGTCCAACTTTTCCCAGTAACCTTTCAGGAAAGCATTAAACCACATATTCAGAAGTAAGCCATGGTACAAGTACGTTTGTATTTAAGGTTCAAGATCAAAGCAGTGCCTGCCCCTGTATCTGAATCCCACATGACCCAAAGTCTAAGTCTTTACCATAGAAAAAGAACATCAGTTCCTTTCCCTTGTCCTCTGACTTAGGATGGGTGGGGTCCCTGACATTCACCCAGATATAAACCTCTGGAAATCAAAAATAAAAAATGTTGATACACTGCTACACAATGCCGAGAGTTGCAGTGACCAAGGGGGAGGAGGCCAGCGCGGGAGGGTCATCCACTGGCACATCAAGGGTTTGGCAAGACCACGATGGTGAAGAAGAAACAGGGAAGAAGGGATACAACCAGATGGAGAGAGAGCAGGGCGTGGGGCCTGGCGCAGCACACAGTTCAGGCTGCACAGCTGAAGACAGCCCGTGATACGGGGGTGCGTACAGTCAGAGCAGGTGGTAGCAGAGAGAAGCCAGAACAGGGAGAAACAACCTTTTACACCCTAGTGGGTTATAAAAATGTTAGTAGTTTTTATAGAACAGACAAGACAAGATCAAGATGGCATTAAGAAGGATGTATCTTATGCCTTTGTATTCCCTCATGCTTAACAAAATTAAAACCTCTGACAATAAGTCAAACATGTATCCACAGAACCTCCATTCTGCCCTCCCTGAACACTGCCTATAGCAAACACACACTCTAACTCTCAACTGTGCTAAACTGAAGGTCCTTACTGCTGCCTGCAGCTGCACACCAGGTCTGCTCCACCACCTCCCCTCCTGCTCCCTGCAACTAAGCCATGGAAACCTCCTACAGTTAGACCCACAGGCCCCAGCTTCCATGTGGCTGAAGACTTTGATGGCAAGAACACACTGCTACCCCACGGCTGGCACTCCACCAAGCACAGCAAGACGTGTTGGGGCTGACTTGTCCTTGTGCCGTGCCGCAAATTTCTGATTGCAGATCATTCCCATGGGCTGTTAGAAGCTTCTGGTCAGAAGCAGAATTAAGGTGGAAAGGGCGATGACCCTAATTTTGTTTTCTCTCGGTGCTAAGGAAGGGCAGGATACATCACTGGAGAGATCTAGCTCTGTGACAATTAAGACCATTTAATATTAAAATACAGAAGATGATAACTGATAGGAAAAAGTGATATCACCTGCATTGCACTGGAAATGGATATAGATTACATCCCATACAGATCTGATGAGTCAACTTATAAATGAACAAAACACTATCTGGGATAGAATCAATTGCCCCATCTTTAAATGCATCCAGGCTAGGATCTGCTACACACCCAGCTTGTCCCTGTATGGAAAATGGTCCTCAAATCTCTGGAGGTTTTCCCCACATGTAGCAAAACAGAGAGAGTAAATAGAACATTTCTAAGGAACTGCTGCATTCAATTCCTAGAAATCCACTAAACAGAACACATACTTACTTTAACAGTCTCTTGTATCTGCTTATTACAGCTACTTCCCACCCTGCAGGCATGAGTTTAACTTCCTTTTGCCTTAAGAGGGCTGACACTCACATCCTGCTCCTCTTAATCCCAGAAGAGTGCCCTACTCACCAAAGGAGACAACCTCATCTCCAGTGGAGGCTGGGCCAACTCATGGGCAGGAGGCAAGGCACAGCAGCCATGCAAACACATGCTCACTTCAGAAGACTGGTTGGTGCAGCAAGCTAGGAAGTGGGAGGCAGAAAAATTTACATGGTCTTCAATCTGCAGGGAGAACCCAAATGAGAATCTCCCATTTCCTCCAGGAACCAAGAGTCTGGGGACTTCATGCTGGTGACACTGAAGCTTAAGCAAGAGCTTGATGCCTGATGCATCACACTGGAGAGCTTCTTAACATCGACGGGCACTGAAACTTGGAGTATACATGGGAGGTTGGTGGACATACATGTATGTACCTACTGAGCAGTCAATGCCTCCAGAGCTAGGCTGACAAAAGCCTCTAGATCTTTCTCTTGGATTCAGGCACTTCAATTTTTACTTATCACCTACCCTTGACACCAAAACATCACTCATATACCCGAGACATGTTTGAAACAGCAACTGTAGACCTCAGTCCTAAATCAGTGCTCCCCTTGACCCCCAGGCTGTTCTTTGAGGTCCTATTGCAAAAAGACTGGCTATTTTAAAGAAATCGCTAAAACCAGTTTAAATAAACTGCAGACCTTTTAGGCACACTAGCGATGGTAACATTAGTTCAGAATAGCCCAAACAAGTCAAACCAAAAAAGTCCAAAAATAAGGAAAAATTATTTTTAGAAAGGAATTCCTTCCTGAACTGTTTTCTGGACAACCCCACTCTTCAGTGCCATTGGTGGGGAGGAAGAGGTAGCTAGAACTAGATGGGGGCTTTTTCATGTTATGTACTTATTTTTTATTATCCGTTCTACATTACATTATAGAGTTCATACAACATTGCAAACATCTAAGGAACGAGAAATATCTAAGTCATAAATGGTGCTTTTGTTGTTTGGGGTTTTGTTTAAATATTTTTTTCCTACCATATCACAGTCACATCTTTTAAGTAAATACACTGCCAAGGACAACTGTCAGGTGCATTTAGAACAACTTACACATTACTTGTGACACCTGCTTTTCATTCTATCATTCCGTGGTTCTTTCCTGTACTAGACCATAACAGCTCCATGGCACATCAAGATATCCTTGGAGATTCCTTAGTTCACGGATCATTGACAAGAAGAGACATTACAGACATTCATATAGGCATAGCTGCCACACATGGGGTCTTAAGCCCACTTGTTAAAAACCCTGCAGCAGCAAGGCTAAAAGGTCACAGGGGATATTAATCTCCATTCTTTCAAACATAAGCTGAGCTGATCCCTATCTAGGGTCAGAAAAGAATTTTTCTCCCAGAACTAAAGCAGCTCACAACTGAGCAAAATCCAAAAGACAGTCTCTATTTTAACATTAAAGCATTGTACAAACACATCCACAGGCAGATACAATGACTGTGTGAATGGTGAGCAAAGGGGAACAATGTTTAGCACACTATTTCAAACTTGTGTGCAACACCAGTGGGAATGCAGGATGACTGCCCCCCTTTAGCCTGTCTCCCACTTAACCTCACCACAGTACTACCAGAGGTAAAAAATGTCCTCCCCTATAGACGGGGTCTGTAGGTGGGGTTTTCCTATTGCTTGATACTGAACATTTGACTCTGCAAATATCAAAATGAAAAGGCACCTCTGCTATCTTTACATGTCTCTTTTATGCCTATGTGTTTTGACACAATCAGTTACACAACTGCATCCCATTTTCTCCACAGGCACTCAACTCATGAACAGGATGGATGACATTAAATGAGCAGTTACTCATTTCTGCGTTACTCTCATTGTTTCAGTAGTCACATCAAGCCTGATTTACAGCTGCTAATCATACCTTTCTTCAAATCAGTTGTTAATTCCTCACTGATAGGGCTATAACATACTTGTTTTTTTCTGGACATGTGTCTTTTTCTGACCAAAATTTTACCCAGGCAGACCAAAAATTTTCTACAGTTCCCTGAGATTGCTGGACATATGGTCTCACATCATAGCAGCTGTGCAGTATTGCTGACTGGACAGATAAACATCTGGAAAGGCCTGGACATACACAGATGAAGACTGGTTACTAATTCTGTTTCTCATTTTCTGTAAATCAACCATGCAGCATGATGTCGGGCATCCTGAAATGCAATGTAAGAGACCAGGCTAACATCACAAGACAGAGCGCCATGCTGTTTAAGGCACCATCTTCTGAAATCCAGTGCTTAGGTACATTTTCCCTTCTCCAAAACAGAGCCAGGATGGCCCTCTGCTGCTGCACAAGCCCAGAACAGGTCATTAACACACAGAGCAAAGCAAGGAAGCAAATTCCAGTGTTAAGAGGTTTTGATTTTTTGATTTATCCACTTTTCGATGCAGTCATTTCTATTAGCAGAGTCTAAACAATGAACTGAAGTTGTTCCTTTCTCAAATTCTTTTTACTTCTTGGAAGCTTTTCCTTACAATTAATCCAAACCTGCCCTTCTTAGTTTAAGGCCATATTGCTTTTGTAAGCCAGCTATGACTCGTTTCGAAGAGCTTCCTCTCCCTCGATTATGTTTTCACTTAAAATAGTACAACAATCCTATTTTCCATTTTCTATTCAAAGTTAAAACTTGTTCAAATAGAGACATATAACAATATGACAATACCTTACCTGGAAAAGCATAAACTACAACACTAACTGGAACATTATCAGAGGAAGAAAAAAGCATTTTTTTCCCTGTGTGGCATGCGAATCCTGCTAGAAGTCTACAGAATTCTATTTCTGACTGAAATTCAGACTGCATTTCTTTTTCATGTGCTTGCTATATTTTTATTTTTAAGAATAAGTTATTCAAAGATGCAATTATTCAAAAAATTTAAATAAGTCTTGCCTGATCTATTAGAGTTTATCCCTTTTATTTTGGACTTGGATGCAGAACAACTGGTCTTCATTTTGAATAATTAACTGTCCCTGTTCAGAAGCAATCACTGATGATGCAGACAATTATCAGGCATTACGTTCGCATGACAGAAACAACATTTTAACTGATCATTGTTAGATGAAATACAAACAAACAAAAGGCTCGCCAAGTTCCACAGCCAAATCTATCTTTCCCTGTTAACTTGGCTTTGTTTAAACCTGCAGCTGTGGTCCCATGGACTGGTGTGGAAGCTAACGATCATTACCTCACATATACTGTCTCTTATACACA